TCGCCATCTTGAAACTAAGTCACGTGAGCAGTTAGTTAATAATTTTAGTTAGTTGACTATTCATTAAGGTTATTAACTTTCTAGCTATGCCTCTCAGTGTAGAAATAGAATTCAGTGGAGGAGCTGAGCTTCTCTTTAACAAGATAAAGAAACACAAGATTGAGCTTCCCGATAAAATGGGCGTGGCTAACACCTGGACGATAAGAGATCTGATTGGTTGGATAAAAGAAAACTTATTATGCGAGAGACCTGAACTATTCGTACAAGGGGAGAGCGTGAGGCCGGGGATATTAGTAATGATTAATAATATTGACTGGGACCTCGTGGGGGGGCTGGATTATGTAATCAACAATAATGACACCATTCTATTTATATCTACTTTACACGGTGGATAATTATTATAATAACTAATAATAATAATTATTAATTTAACACAAAATTCATTAAAGTTTATCTGTATTAAGATGTTGTTGCCTATTATAAAATTAAAATTATTATTAATTAATCAATTAATAAGGTGATTTCCTTACTGGTGCTACTTGAGATGCTGTTCCTATTTTGTTTTCTGACAGTATTTTCATTGGTGATGTCGCTATTGTGATGTTACGACTGCAAAATGTCTATAACAGAAAATTAAAAATTTTAATATTGACATGATGATAAATTAATATTGAATATATTACTTCATATTTAATTAAAATATTATTAATGAAGGTTTAAAGGCAAAAAGTAAGCTAAGAGGACACATGCAGCCAAAGTTGGTGGAGACTAATGAAATACACTCAACATACTGTATCATAGCAAAATAGTAGTGAGCATGCTAAACAGCCACAGTGAGTTAATTATACAAGCTTCATTAGTCACTTTAATTATGCAAGCTTCGTTGCTCATGAGTAATGTAACTTGTATAATTAACAAAATAAAGGTTATATTTAAAATAAAATCATTGCTTATGCTGAATACAAGTGTTATCAATGGAGTGCCATCATATTTAATATATTTAATATTGACATGATATAGTATGTAATGTACCATGATAATGTAGTTACTTACTGTAACATTTAGTGATGATTGATTAGTAGTATGGAACCTTTCACTAAAGAGAGAGAGAGAGAGTACAATAATAGCTAGCATCATTAACATACCCTAATGAGATGGCACTGGGTCTAGAGGCATCAATAGCAGTGACTTGTCTCTCCTTTGCTTCCTAAGATGAAAAGAAAAGAAGATGTATATGTGTATGTACATGTACATGTATAAATTTGAGATAGAGTACATGTACATGCGTGTCATCAATGTGTTGCCTGGTAACCTCCTCTGCCCTCTCCTCTGAGCAATGAATGATTTCCTGGAGACACTCTTGATCGGGTGAGGTTGGGCAGAGTCCCTCTTGTGCCAATTCACTGCCTACTTCATACCAAACCTCACCTGTCTGTACAGGGCATATTAGAGATAGTAATTCATAGTTGAAGTGTTACCTTGAAATCAAGATAATTCTCTACAATACACAATGTTATTTTATCTTCAGTATTTATGCCATCAGATGGATGAGAAAAACCTAAAATAGCGATCAACATGTAAATGTATATGTACATGTGGCAGCACTGGGTTTCTCCCAAAGCATGCTTAAGTGAACTAAAAAGTATGCTTTATACAAGCTGAAAAGCCTAATACATGTACATGTAGTACATACAGCTTTGGAAGCAACTTTAAAAATTCATTATAAATCCAATTTTGATCGAAATCGGCTTAAACCTTCTACACAACATAAGAACATGTATATGCATCAGAAAAAATTATAAAAATGAAGAATTCTCTCCTATTCATTTTTGGCGAAATTTGGCCAAAAACCCTGTACTATAGTACAGGGACTTTGGCCTGATTTTGGAGCGACTTCAAAAATTCATTAAAAATCTAATTTTGATTGGAATCCACTCAAACTTTCTACACAACATAAGAACATGTATATGCATCAGAAAAAATTATAAAAATGAAGAATTCTCTCCTATTCATTTTTGGCGAAATTTGGCCAAAAACCCTGTACTATAGTACAGGGACTTTGGCCTGATTTTGGAGCGACTTCAAAAATTCATTAAAAATCTAATTTTGATTGGAATCCACTCAAACTTTTTACACAACATAAGAACATGTATATGCATCAGAAAAAAATTATAAAAATGAAGAATTTTCTCCTAGTCATTTTTGGCGAAATTTGGCCAAAAACCCTGTACTATAGTACAGGGACTTTGGCCTAATTTTGGAACGACTTCAAAAATTCATTAAAAATCTAACTTTGATTGGAATCCACTCAAACTTTCTACACAACATAAGAACATGTATATGCATCAGAAAAAATTATTAAAATGAAGAATTCTCTCCTAGTCATTTTTGGTGAAATTTGGCTAATGACCCTGTACTATAGTACAGGGACTTTGGCCTGATTCTGGAGCAACTTTAAAAATGAGGGAACCCCCAATGGAGCACAGTTCATTATACTGTACCTATTCTGGTGCACATGGCATATATTTTGGCTCTCACATTCTCCCTCACGTCCTCAATAGCAGCAGTGTAGTGTCTGGTGGGCAGTGGAAGCATTCCTTGAGCATTCTGTGTAGCACCCATTAGGGGAAGAGTGGTCCCTGCATCAGAGAAAAGGGAGCAATTACAGTGCATCCATGTGAAAAAAAAATGAATGACGAAGCTATAGTTGCTAAAAATTAGTTGTTTATACATGTATGTTATTATAATTATTGCTGTGCAATTGTACATGTATTTGTGTATGTACTGTACAGGTATAATCAGTATTACCAACTAATGTTCCTTTGTCTTCTCTTGGTAGACCCATGTCCATCTCCTCCTGTCTCCAGATATGAGCCAGCAATGACCAACAATTAATAGAGTCAGTTTTAGACTGCCATGCAGGCAGTGACATGAGCTACAGCCTGAGGAGAGAGGACTGAGATACATGCATGTACATGTACATATACGTATATATACTATATCCCAGTTGAGTTTGGGACAAGAAAAACTGGAATAACTTTTTATAGGAATATGGGATAAGGATGAAACTTTCACAGGTTCTTAGTCGCCAAAGTCCATCAAAATCTGTGAAATCTTGGGTCTCTCAACTCTTAGGAACCCTGAGAACCGGGTTCTCCCTATAAACCCAATGGCATACCAAAATGACGTTTTATGACAAATTATCTACGTCATAGTTTACATA